AAATAAATAAATAAATAAATATAACATACTTTGCCATTTGAATAAGAAATTGCTGACAATATTCAATAATATCGGCTCTTTCATATCCATCAATATATATTCCTTTATGATATCTTTTATATCGAAAACCCATTTTATAAAACCAATGTTGAGCTGTAGTTTTTCTAATAAATAAATAAAAAATAATTAATATATTTTAAATAAAATTATAATAAATAAAAAAAAAATTTACATACGCAATTTTAGTTTTACGATTAATATCTAATTTTAGAAATATAAAATTTGATACATAATTCACAAAATCTGATAAATAAAATTCAAATTTATTTATTCATAAATAGTTAATGATTTTATGACGAATATCTTTATCATCAAGAAAGCTTTTGACTTTAATATGTTTTTCGCGTATTGAGATAGGGATTTCTTATTTTTATGCTAACATACAAGTCTATTCTCAGAGTTGATGGGTAAAATATTTATTTTTTCCTAATTTTTATGCAACAAAAAGGTTGGCTTCCATTTTTCTGATGTTTAATTGACAACGTCAACAATATTGAAGTATAACTTCTAATAACCATTTTTATTCAGATGGTAAAATTTCATCTTGAAGTTTTTTTTCTATAAAAGGGATTAGATTTTTTAACTCAATTTTATCATCAGAGTCACTTTCTATTTCTGATTCTGTAGCTGATGAATTGATTGTATTAATATTATAGATAATATCTTAAGTTTTATTGTGACCTTCTAATTCATTTAGTTGAGCATTATCTGTTTAATTTTATACAGAAAGAAAAAACTTTGTGATAGTATTGCTATTTTTTACAGCCATTTTTTTTGCAGCACTTTCTTTCTTTTTTTAGTTCAGATACTGTTACCCATGTATCAAAATGGCTGTTTTGAAGGTTTAATATTTTTAAACCATGAAAAAGTTTTTTTAATACATCTTCAGATTCATTATTAAGTTCGAAGTCTGTCCATACAATTTCATCATCAGAAGATATTTCAGAATCTTCTTCAAAAGAGGAGGAATCTTCAACAATAAATGGCTTATTTTTTGAAAATATGTTTAATTGTATTAAATGATTTTTTTGTCTTGACCGACGTCCTATTAGGAGGAGTAAATCAAAATTTGATTTACATTTCTTTTATTTTTTATACATGTAAAATGATATTCTAATGAGAATTTTTAATGTAAATTAGTCTAAATTAATCACTTTACGAATTGGCCGACCAGTAAAATTTTTCATATTTTATAAAATTAGCATTAGAAAATAAAAAATAAAAAAAAACATTTAGTTGCAAAAAAAATATCTTTATTTGCTGAGATTAAATCAATTAAATCTCAATATAGTTTAGTTTAGAGTTTAAAAAATGTCAATGTTAAAATTTACACGTGATCACGAATGCTAAATTGACCAATCATATCCACCTACTTTGGATGCTAAATTTACCACGACATATAGAAATAGGCCGTTTTCAAGTACCTATTTCTCTTGAACTAATGATCGAATTTTAAAAATCTCTTCATTAATTTAAATTATAGGTTACAAATAATATAATAATGAAGAGATTTTATTTAAAAATTAAAAATTTATTTTTTAATAACAAATTAAATTTTGCTTACAAAACTTGTCATGTCTAGACGCTATGAGCTAATATAACTAAAATGAAATCAGATATAATGCGAGACTAGCTACCTAATCCCATTTGATTTATAATTGACTATATTACATTTTGAGCTAAGGATAGTGTAGTTGAGTTAAGTAAGAAAGCATTATATCAGAAGTATCTTGAATAATATGAAGAGGATGGCGAAAAGCCATTTTCTAATAACATTGCTGGAAAGAAATTCTCAGATATTGGTATTGAAAGCAAACAAGCATGAACAGGTAGTGAAAAAAGGGAATGACAATACATTCTCGACTATTTCAAGATCGTAGCTAAGCTTCGTGAATCTGGTCTAGGAGATATGAAAGAATTTTCTGATATACCTGAGTTTACTAAAGCAAACTTCCCTCAGCTCGCCTTACTTGAAAATGAGATAACAGACATACTCATATTCAATGTATCAGAAATTATTTTCTGAAAAATAAAAAAAACTGAAGCTCCAGTTATCTCAACATCTGGGACATTTGAAACTACTAAGGCTTCTGAATCAGTAATTAATAAACCTGAAATCAGTAAACCTCTCAAGCCTATTGAACATATCAGTAATATGTTAAAAGCATTCAAAACCAGTAATAATGAAATATTATTTACAAGAATCCATTGAGAAGAGCGTTTCAGAAAATAGGCTATCGATCATAATGAAGATCCTAATAAGTTTATGACAATTACAGAAAAAAATGTCAACTTATCTCAAGAGTATCAAGACAGGATGATGGCAGATGCAGAAGTCATTGAATTTGCTAGAGAAAATAAGATAAACCTGAATGATTTATTTTACATGACTAGAAGGGAAAGGTTAATAAGCAAAGAAATATATCTCCAGGAGTTTAAAGATGTGAGAAAACTCTGAAAGTATATTTATGATGATAAGGAATGGCAAAAAAAATATAAGCATACTTCAGGAAAATGGTATGCTTTGGTAAAGAGCGAATAAGAAACCAGTTATAAAAAAGGTGTTTGGGTAAAAGAGTCTTTATATTCTTTACACTTAGGCGATATAAAATTCTAAATTATTATAATTCCATGGCTATGTATTTTTTTTTCATATATCCTACTATTTACAATTTTTAAAAGATATTCCAGCCAAAGCTTAAAGAGCCTACAATAAGTTATAATATTATTTTTACTTACTAACTATAGGGTATTGAAATTATAGAATAAATTTTTCAAATTGAACTTTATCCCACATAATATAATCTAAATACTACAGATTAATTTAACTACTACAATATATTCTATATATATCACTTCATGTCTGCTATTATAACTAAGTTCGTTACAGATCACAAATTTACCAATAAGATGAGTCTTGAAGAGTTTAGCTAATATGTGCCAGAAATACTTGAGCTCTTGACAACTGGTGTACCAAAGGTAGATAAAGAAAAAAGATGCCAGACTCGTGATCATCTTCAAAAAGGATATAAGTTTAGTAAAGAATAGGCATATGCATTAATTCCTCACAAGAGAGTTAAGTGAAGTAAAAGTCAAGTACCTTCCAAAGAAGGGGATGGGTCAGAGGTTGGAGAAGTAAATATATGTCAAGTTTCTAATAGTGCTTATTCTGAGGAGACTATTAAAGTAACGGCTTAGCGTATTGTTCAGAATAATCTTAGTGAAAGAGATGTAAAAGTGATATTTAGAATCTTAGTCGAAACTGCTTCTGATCCTGTCATCGTCTTATTACGTCTTTTCAGACTTCAAAGAGAATTGCGAATCCTTAATGTTTCAGAAAAAATAATCTCTGCTATCAAGATTCTGGAGATAATCAGAGCATCTAATAAAATCCAACAGAAACGTACTAAGCTTCTCGTTAGAATCGGTTAAGGAATTGCTAGATTTGTATGTTGTGTCTAATACACCAAATAAACAGGCCCTAGCTGATGTAATGATTATACTCTGTATCCGCTCTGCTGAAATTAAAAACTTGCACATAGCAAATGGGGGTGTAACTGGATACAAAAAAAAACAGGGGCACAAGACATTCCATGAGTATTTAGATCACTGGAAAAGAATGAGAAGCAGGCAAGACAATTGCTTACATGGATTCAGAAAGCAATTTCTTCTGGATAGTTAAGAGATTCTGGAAAGCCTGGATCTGTATACTTAAGTTCATTTCTGAAAAAAGATGAATATATTCCTAAACCTTATGAGCCACTACTCCCTAGTTCTTTGCACAAATTAGGGGCGGTGTTTGCTTCTGTAGTACATGGGCCTAAAAATCCATCAAAAGCCAATATTTATACCAGTGAAGCACTTCACCACAGTCCTGACAATCATACTTCTCTATCTGATAGATATACTATAGTTAATTTTAGAAGGAGGGCAACCTTATGATCAAGCAAAACGATTCTGGATTTCTGATGAAAACTAATCATATATATGTGTTAGAGGGACCCTAGAGGGATTGAGTCGGGAGGGTTAGCTTTGCTAATCTGATATCATTTATTAATTTTATTTTTTCACGAAAAATTTCTCCCTCAATCAATTTTCAATCTAATAATAAATTAATAAAATGATTCCCCTTACAGACATCTCCCTATTTACACTCTTCTGTGCCGTAATAATAATCTACGAAATGATATCCTGGGAAGTTATAACATAACCATTGAGAATCTCCAACCTATTTTTTCAGGAAATGTATTCGTATATATAATTTTTGCTGGAGTATTTTTCTTTGAATTTATTTTATTTTTTACCGTGAAGAGTTATAAAGCTAGCTTGATTTCGTATAATTAATCGTGTTTCATTTTACATCTGTATTTTCATCAGTGTGATTCGTCGCTATATATGATATTAATATTTTTTCTTGAAAAAGGTGATCAGCGTTACAAATTGTAACGTGCACATGATTTTTTGAATAAATCTTATAAAAAAGTTCAAGAAATGCAACACGAAAAATACGAATTTTTTCATAGAAGTGACCCAAATAATTTAGCAAGAGCGGGATCTACTCAAGAAAGAATTTTGCGAAGAAAACTGGATTGTTTTAAGGTATGTTTGGTATTACGAAGACCCATATATAGTTAAGTTTTTCTGGAACATTATCGAGAATTGGGTCTTATTGTAATTGTTGTGGTTAAGCGAATTTTATTAATTATCAAGAGAATACTGAACAAAACATAATTGCATAGAGCAAAACGTGAATCTACTAGATCAAAAGAAATATCCTCTACATAGTCTAACTATCAGATTCCCGAAATAATATACTAATATTTTAACCTCAACACGAAATAATCAAGTCTATTCATATTGATCCCTTAATGATGCTAATTTTTTTGCGATGCCAACTTCAGAATATCGGCTCACCTTTCTTTTCTTTCTATGCCCGATCAATTCATTTCGTGTTGAATTAATACATAGCTATATTTACAAAAAATGCCATTGTTAATTTGATGAGCACATAAAATGCAGATAGATAATGAAAACATGTAAGTACTTACAGCCCATTTGACTATTTCCTCATATAACCACACAAAGTTTGGCATATCAACCCAGTTTTTCGGTAGGCAGAAATGATCAACCTCGAATAACCTATGTACACCTGAAATTGAATTATTAACTTTCTCATTATATGAAGCGTTTTAATATAAATTTATGTAATGCATACTTCTAAAATCCATCATTGTTAGTGACAATTCAGTTTTGAATGCAGTTAAACCATAAACTCTTAAGACTTTAAAAAGTTGTCGGCATGTATCAGCTTATTCTATGACAATATTATTATATAATACTGCTATGCTACTTGCATTCTTGATATCATCATCCATGCTTTTTTTCTGCAGTACACCCAGTCTAGCTCCTTCACCACAAACTATAGGGTAGTTTACCACGTCATTGAGAAATCCTACTCCATCGGCCTGTATTCTAGTTTCAAGACCTTTCAGAGGAATTTCACCACTATATAATATGAAAGCGTTTTATTAATAATATAATTTATGTAGATAAACGTAGGTTCAAAGCTACTTACAATATGTAATTAACCTTGGCAAAATTCCACAATGCTGAATCAATTATAAGGTGTACAAACTGATTAAGATGCAGTTTCTCCAGGATTGTAATATCCCTCAACGGATTAAGATCCTCCAATGAAAACGCTTTTAAACTAAAATGAATAAAAAATAGATAGTAAATTGGATAAATATTACTATAATAAGTTGCGTAAGTTCTCTCTTGCCCTTACAATTTGGGTAAAGTTTCTTGTATTAATTTTTTAATATTCTTTAAGTGTTCTGAATCACATCTATTAAAATCCATATTGTTGATAGCATTATCCCAGCCCTGCGCAGTGAAATCTTCATTGAAAAATGACGTAAGATATTCGTGGATATCATCAGTAATATAGTTATCAATTTCGTCAAAAACTTCGTGCAAAATGGTTTTTTGAAGTTCCAAATCCAGAAATAATGAAAATTTTGATTTTGGACGTAGGTCCATTATAGATGTCTTAGGAAATTGACTTAAAAAGATTTTTGTAACTTCATTTATGACAGATGAAACTTGAATCGAGTCTTCAAGGATATCCTTAACACACATCATCTATGAAAATAGAAAAATCATTATTTTTCCTAAAATATCAACAAAAAATATTACCAGAGACGAATTTTACTAACACTACTTTCATCAGCAACTACATCTTCGCCTTCATTTTCTTCCTGTTTATTTTCTTCCTGTTTGTTTTCTTATTCATTTTCAGAGCCCTGATGTCATGATCATTATTCAGAGACTGGAGTATATCAAGAGATCTCAATAAAATTATCCGATTGGTTTATTTTATTAAATAATTAATACCTACTCTTGCAAATTTTTCGGTAGTCTTTCCTGTCATGGCCGTTTTGTCAGTAACAACACTTAATTCAACATTGACTTTATATCGACCCTATGATAATACATCAAAAGTTTATCATTAATCGTAAAATACACACAATAGATAGGCATTACTAACCTCAGCAAATTTTAAGTCCTGATTTCAAGGAAATTTAATATATCTTTTCGTTTTAGAGATCTTGGCAGGTTTTCAAGAAGCTTGATAGCCTTATTTTTTGCCGTCAGCCGAAGACTATGATTCGATAAAATTTTTAGCTGTTCCTCTAAAGAGTTTTGAATATCATTTAAATTTTCACTTGTAAAGTTAACGTTATCTGATATGTAGCGTAGGACTTCCAATACATTCCACTTTAAGAAATCGTTCAACTGAAAGTAATTTCTAATATGATTTTCAAAATTCATCTAGGGTATATAATAATTATAGTTAGCATTGACAAAAGAAAGCAAGACGAACAGGCACAAGATACTGGCTTAATGTAATGCTTCTGGTAGAGAGCGGGAGGAGTGATCTACAATGAGGATTGTTTGAGACAATGAGTCAAAGAGGGTACCTCCGCAACTCTCCTACCAAGCATCAGCTACAGAGAGTTACATAACGCAAGTGTTAAGCTTTGCTCTGCAGGTGTAGGAAGTATTACATCCAATATACTAGAGACAAGAACGGAGGCGTGATCTATAATGAGGTAAGTTCAGCGAATGAACAAAGGGTCAAAGAGGATAGCCTATGCCTTGCTCTAAACAACAACCGCAGGAATTAACTAGATAGTAAGGTAATCTCACTCTGCCATACAGGTGTCAGATATTGTGGGTCGTCAGAAATAATCTGATTTCAACTTGCCTTAATAATAGTGGTGAAAAAAAAAGATTTTTGTTGATCAATTTCACGTCAATCAGTTTAATGGAAGATAACGATCACATGTCACTATGGTTAAAAATATTTTATAAATGTAGTGTTTTACTCTATAAAAATTTTTCACGAATGCGCATTGTTAAGGTAATATTCGCATACTGGGTTCAATCAAATTCTGCAATCAGAAATAATGATTAATATTCTTTATTTTAGTCGAAAGCTCCGAACATGCAATTAAGGTATGAATACTTTATTTGCGACAATGTATTCCAATGAACCGCCTTCTGGGCTTACAAACTTATGACCACTCTTTCGTACAGATTTCTGAGAAATTTATTAACACTGCAATATATACTTTCAACCTTCTTCTCTAGAGTTCGAAAAAGATAAATCCAGATAACGGACAACACATTGAGAATTGCATGCTTCGTATAAACGTTTTTATTCTATCCAGAATGTGATAACAAATAAAACTGGATCATAATTAATGTTGTAGTTTAGATGATTTAGATATGTGGAGAATTTATAGTGTAGATACTAGTATGTAACCATAGATAGATTTGATTCTTTTGATTAATTTTTACAATAAATAAAACAAAGAATGTTAATGCGATTTTTACGAATATTTTTTCGTGCGATTATCCTTTTGAATATATCCTATTTTGTAATAAAACAATGTCGAACGATCAATTAACAATTATTACCTTGAGAGAATTAAACTCTAGGCTTGCATCCGAGATTACTGAACTTAGAAAGGAGAATGCTGAAATTCCTGAAATTAGAAAAAAATTTTCTGAAGTTGAGGTCGAGAACAATGCTGAGAACGTAAAATTAAAACAAGCTTTGGAAGAACATGAATCCAGATTTGCAAAACTGGAGCAGAACGATAAAGATGCTGCTGTTGAAAATGCTGAGCTTAAAGCTAGAGTTGCGAAATTAGAACAGAAGCAATCGAAAACTGATGAAAAGAACAACTTTATTGTTAAATCAGATGATGATGCCAAGGGAATCAATCAATCTTCAGTTAATACCACCTCTACCAAAATAAAAAATTCTAATGATACTTCAGCATCTAATATAGTTGATTATACTTCAAATTCTGATGTTGCTCCTGAACGAATAGAAAATAGTTCTGATAACACACCCGATTCTGATCCAAACCAGGAAAAGGATAGCCGATCTTTCACATCTCCTATTCCTATAGGAACTTTATCATCGGAAGAGAAAGAAATTAATGAATTTTTGGAATTACAGGAAAAGGAGAGGGTTAGTAATATGACAAGAGAAAGAAATAGGGAAAAGAAGATTTGCCGAAGGCAACGATTAGTACGAAAAACATCTTCCTCTTTGATATACAAAATGCAATTTCTACTGAGATAAATCCTATTATTGAAATTACCCATGATCATAAAACTACCCGATTAGAATCAATGCCTACTGATCAAACACAAAATACCGGAATCAAAATTCCATACAACAAAAGAGTAGAGCAAGTCTTAAGACACGATCTATCTGTATTCATTAAAGAAAATATTAATAATAAAGTTAGTGAAGTATTTGATATACAAATTCCTGAATTCTCGCTAGAAGTAATTATAACAGGATCTAGCAAAATTACAGCACAAAATATAGCCGATTTATTTGTTATAACAATGAAAGTTAGACAAAAAGAGATTTTATGCTGGTATTGTTACTATAAAGCATATGAGGATCGAACTGAAGACATTAAACGTGTAAATAAAATTGATGATCAATCAGCAAGAACATTGGTATATAATGAGATAAAAGCACTTCTCCCAGATATCACTGATGTAAACTTGCGTCAGAGAACATTCAGAGTAAAAAAGATTTATACGTTACTTGTGGGAATAGGAATAGAAAAAATCCAAGCAATAATATGTAATGCAAGTGCAATCTCGAGTTTAACTGACAATCAGATTCAAGATATTATAATTTGTTTTCCTAAAAAATTTATTAGAATAGATGACTCTTCGGTTAAATGCCAAAAAATGATCGGTGTTATAAATTATAACGCGTATGTGACTGAATCTTTCGATCAGACTAATGCATTGGAGACGGTTTCAGCAATGCAGGCTGAGGTAAGCATTCCAACTGCACCTATCCTATTAGCCCATGTCTCTGCGAAACACCTTAACGGTAATTTTTCTGATAATTCCAAGAAAGAGGCGTGGTTTGATGAAGATATGTTTTTCAATGAGACGAATCCCACTAAAGTGAACACTGTCTCTTCAGCCAGGGCCAGATAATACGCATGATGGTGACTCCAATTCATGTAATGATGACTCTGATTCTAATGATTCTAAAGAGGAGATGCAAGACAATTCGGATGATGATGGATATAATGGATACGGTGGATATAATGAATATGGTGAATATGATAAAGGTTATTACTATCGTGACAGAAGATATAAAATAAAACCTTATCAATGATGAGTCCTATTATCTTTCCGGTAACCGTCTAGAGAAATTATTACATACTTTAGTACTGGATTATCTATTTTTTTTTCAAATCACGTGGGTGGCTTATGCAAAGTAAAATCGATCACCTGAAATATCACAAGGTAAAAAACATTCATCATTTTCTGATCTCCTAGCTATCTTTTTACATTTATTCTCAAAAGTAAAGAGGTACTAACTTTTTTATTACCTATCATTAGGTTTGTCTTGATTCTCTTCTGATGCATCTACCAGTCAATTTTTGGTATATCCTGATAAAGTTCAAACTTTATAGATGAAATTCACAGCCCTATTTAATCAAAGAAAAAGAAGGGAGGGACGCTTCCACACACAATTATACAATATAATTTCTCAAGAAATTCATCTAAGCTTCACGACTTTGATGAGTTTCTACCGTTATCAAAAAACTCTGAAAACTACTTCCTTAGATAAAATTCAAGAATGGGTTAAAAGAGAAGGAAGGAGGAATTCTAGTAATAGTGGTAATAGTAGCAGTAATAATAATGATAATGGTGGCAATTAGTGAAGTCAAAGAATAGGAGCAGTTATTATCTTTCGAGACAGACTTTGGGTCTGATTGCAAGTGTTCTAATATATCGGACTAATTGCTTAATGCAACTATATGATATTTAGAGCGTGTTCTCCCATGTAACTCTGCGAAACTTTATTTTATTATATCGAAAATACGAAAAATAATTTCTTTATTGTGATAAATTTTACAAAATAATTTTAATAAAATATATTTAGAACTATAAGCGTTTTTACTTGCTATGCCTTATTTTTTTCGTTCACAGCGAATATCACAAGAATATGAACATGCTTATCAAATATAGAAGGATCTTTAGCAAAATAATTGCTAATCTTATTCTCTGATTTCATATTCCTATATGTTTTTATCTTATAATCGATTACGCGTAGAGAAAAAGAAGCATTTCTGAATTTTTCATCCAAGTGATATTTTTGGATTTCAGATTTTAATGCGGTAACTGGTGCATTCTTTTCAATACTAAAACCAATTACTTGACATCGATCATATCTGAAAAAGTTTAAAAGAATCATATTATATAGCATAAATTTGGTAATATCACAATTGAAATGATATGACAATATAAATATTATACTAAAAAAAGATACCAGTCCACAATAAGAACTTTTTATATACAGAATAAATCAGGGTTAGAATATTGAGAAAATACATTCTGATATGTATTATTTTTCAGGTATCCGTCGTGTTTTAATATTATATGAACTTTTAATTACAAGTGTTACGTGATCTTTGTTTTTTAGTATATTTCAGAGGATTATTTTTTTTTAGATAAAATAATATAGTCCATATTGGATCATCTAGTGTTATGAATTTTTAGCTTGATATATGCTATTTTTCTTGGCGTATCGCATAAATATGATTATTATATATAATTCTGCGTAGTTTAATCAATATGTATTAGCTAAATTAGACCTAAATTATGTTTCAGCTAAATTGTTCTGCATATCAGACCTAATATATATGTTAAAACTATTCTTTGATTAGCTGATCATCCTGTATAAATACGTCATGTGAAGTACTTTTGGCTAATTCCTTGTTAATCATGAGAGATCTACAAACTGATTTATTAAAATGGATACTTGAAATATAATTAATCTTGATCGTTCCCCTTAATGTAATTTATAAAAATGTATTTTGTGCTTTACAAATGATATTGATATTTATTAATTTTTATTAATCACACTTACAGTCAAATAAATGTTTATTTGTTATTATCTATAAAAATCACTCTTGATCCAGCTCATTATAATTAATAAAATATTAATTGTTTTAGCGTTTTGAGAAAATGAGGGAGTCACAGATCTAGAACTAAAAGAAGGTGGTCTTAATAGAGAAGGTGTTGTTGAACATAATCTATTAGGAGAAGGAATTGCTCAAGAAATTTTTGAAGTAGTTTTGGATTCTGAGGCAGTTAGGGATGATGATATTAGTCTTGGGATTCTTGATGGTTGTTTTCTATTTGGCATGTTAGATGATATTATTTCTACATTAGCTATATTAGGACATTGTGTTCCTAGAAATAATAAGCATTTTAGAGGTATATCTTTTCATATACATGACCAGAAGAAGAATATCATAAAATAAATACTTTTTTCAAAATTCTGTAGAGAACTCTTCGTAATAATATTCTCCAATAGACTTCTCTTCTTCTTTTTAACTCTCGCCTTAGCACCTGCCATAGCTTTCTTATAGGCCTTAGTTATCTACATATACTAAATATATCAGATCAGAATCAGGTTAAATATATAACAAGGGTGTATATTACTTACATAGTAAGCTTGAGTAAGAGTTGCAAAAAGGTTGCAAAAAAGTGTCAGGAACTGACTAAGAACTAGGGAGATCTTATATGATACAAAATTTATAATTTAGCCATATATAGTGATCAGATCTAATTTAGCTGAATCATACCAATATTTCACCCTGAACAAGGATATAATTGAATAAAGGATTTACTAGCATGTAGTCTCACAAATCGGCTACAAATCAACTAATCGCTAATCAGTAAATCTATATAAATTTGAATGATGATATTATCTAGTATAAGTTGCTAAAGAATTGCTAGAATTTGTTAAAAACGCTATAAATCATTAAATATGCCAGGAATCTATATTAATAGACCAAGGTCCAATAAATGTATTTATATTATTTTAGACAAAATATTTAATAAATCTGTGTCTAAACCCACTAATCTTCGTCCTAGTTATGAAATGAAGTATATTAAAAATTATTATGCATATATCAGCTATAGCACTCCTTTTGACTTTGAAAAGACACTTGAGGTAAAAAAAAAATTTGATAATTTATCTATAATTAGATCGCATAAAACTTCACAATAATGGGCTGATTGAGTAAGATCAACTTTACGAATATTAATTAATGAAAAATATAGTAGTTATTATCATGTATTTTATCTTTTCAAATTATTTGAGCAAGGAATAACTGAGACATACCATGAGAACTGCACAGGAAAAGAGATTCCAATTAGTTATCACAGGTCTAATGTTCACAATAGTAAAATGGCTATTTGCTTTGATTGTTAGAAGTTAATAAAAGTTGATGATATAAAACTAAAAAAAGGAATATTTTAATGAATGGCGCAGATATAGCTATGAAGTCAAACCTGAAGACTTTATGAAATATCATTGGGATAATGAATGTTCTAAAGTAACTATACCAAGTGCTTCAAATTTTAAGCCAGCTTGTATTTCGCCTGCCAGGCAATAAATGATTTCACTAACTTCTTATCAATCATCGAATTGCAAGAGTAATACAAGTGAAATATTTATCTCATCTCAATATGCAAAACAGAAAATCTTACTACCATTTATAAATCATCTTAATCAGTTTGTATTAAGATTAAGAGATGGGATAAAAATCACAATTGTTTAACCAGTTTAATAGTTAATTATAGACTAATATTATTTAGCCAAAAATGCAATATATAACTTATTCTTTATTTTTTTTGCGAAATGAATAGCTACAGTATATAATCTGCAATGTATGATCACCTAATATAATTGTAAAATATACTACCTGCAGGATAAAAACCTGATTTACCTATTTCAGGTTAGATTTTTCAATATATTGTATAACTATTTTAGTGAAGTATTTTAGGAAAAACTATGAAGCGATTTTGGGGATTCTTGATTCCTAAATACTAATATAATTATGGCTTTGAAAATTTTTATGCAACAATTATCTAGCAAGCTTATAGGCAGGATTGGGAATTATACTAGTACTGTATCGGTACTGTACTAGTACTGTCTTAAATAATGTACTATACTCAAATATTATAGTATAATGCATTTCGTACATATATCGTCATGTGATCTTATAATTAAAATTACATAAGACA